CTGTCACCATGGTTATTCTAACTGGGTGCTGATGGCAATTTCTAAAGGCCATCTCTTCTTAAAGAAAAATAGGAATGTATTTTCATGAAGAAAAACAAATTTTCTGCCACTTCTCAATGGTTTGATATATTTTTCAAATAAACTTAAAATTGCTTCCTTATGTATCAGCTACTTACAAACCACACTTTCTGCAGTAACAAGCAGTACAGATCAACCACTGCAAAAAAATCTTAAAAAATTCTGAAAACACCCAGGTATTGGAGATATAGTAGGTGTTTTGGTGTCAACAGTTGTCTAAGAAGTATGAACTAGCACTGTCTAGTAAGGGCTAAGACAGGACACAATTTTTCAGGTAATCTAAAAAAATGTTACTGCTACTCAATACCTCTCTTAACTGTAATTCTGAACCTTTCTATGGCATAGTGATGGATAAAACTGAGGCTGTGGCTTTGCCTTCATGGAGAAAACTAAAACATAAGGAATAATCTCTTGAGAAAACAGTTGTATGAACACTGTATCTGAAACAAAGAGTAATTTTATTTTGGAATAATTACTCCAGTGGAGTTATTTTGTATGGATTGTTATTCTAAGTTCCATGATAAATTTGTAATAGCATCTTCCATCACAGGTACTTAATAGTAAGCCAGTCCCATATTAAAAGGCATAAAGAACTAATGGGTGACTGAAAGTAGAATTCAACCAGACCTACTAGCAAAAAAAAAAAAAAAAAAAAAAAAAAGGTCAGACATCTACCCATGATTTCCCACATGAACTTGCACAGTTTTACATCCAATTTTGTGTCTTAGAAAGGAAAACAAAATCACAACCCCGCTTTCTGAATCCAACTAGCTCTATAAAAAGGTAAAATTGCTATAACACCCAACCCTGCACATGAACTTAGATTTAATTCTACCACCTGAACCAAAGTAATCACTGGCTTCTGAAGTGTTTGAAAGGCCAAACTTAAAAGACTGATTATAAAACAGCAGAAATGAAAACCAGAGAATGTTTTAAAGCACTCATTAAAAAAAATGTAAATTGTGGGTTTTTCACCTTATAGCAATTACTATATTATTTAGAGAATCCACGAATCCACTAGGGATACATTTCAAGTGTTCTTCCCTCGACTACACAAGAACCTTTATGTTGTTTCATCTGTTCTTGTGAATCTGAGACACTCCATCAAAACATAAGCAGTCAAAGAAACGATTATTTCCGAAGCACCAACTGTGATCCTTGAAAATCTGATTTTTCATAATACTGGAATAAAATTAAAAATAGAAAAGTGCAATATATTCTAGTTGAGTAAAGTGTACTCCACTGTACATTAATATAACAATAACCATTACCTAGGAATGTAAATGAAACCATGACACACTTATATTTGTCATGCTTAAAAACTCATTATCATCTACTGAATGCTTCAGTATGAAGCATAACACGTACTCAAAAACCTCCATCCACTTAGACTTATGTTTTCAAGTAACAGCCCGTGGGCCATAACAAAATGAAATGTTCCTCTGAATCAGCCTGTAGAAATGTTCTTGTACCACTCCACGGGAGATGCAGACAGAAACCATCGCTTCAATGCCACCCCAGTTACTACATTGCTTTACCCCTCCTTCTCTAGCTTCTGGCCTCAATTGTTAAGACTTGTTGATGCTTCTAAATTATTAAGAACCTAAATAATTAAGAACCTCGATCTACATGTTATTGGCTATGACCCATCAACATCCTTGACAATAAAAGCAGAAATTCCCTGCTCCACCCTGTATCATACATGAAGGAAAATCAAGTTCCCTCCCAACATGTGACCCTCAAGACATAGCCTCAAAATTCTGACGCTAGGTCTCTCACAGAAAGACTGGATGCTGGATGAAAACTGCTAATATCTTCCCACAGTAAATGATTTAACATGCAAGTGCCATAAGATAAAGCAACTATGGGTATATTTGTTTTAAGTCTGGTCTTTAGACCAGTCACCCTTCAGACCTTACCCTAAAAATTAAAATAAAACTTAGGATCTTTTTCCAGGTACTGAAATGAATTTCATATAACAATTCACAAAATGGCAATGTAATAAAGTCTTTCCAAACATGAAGGGAGGGAGGCAAAATGTCTGCTATTTGTTTCACTTACGACTATATTAAAAGATGTTTGTTAAGGAAAATTTCTAGAAGAAAACTCCCCACCAACAGGATAACAACAGATTTCTGGAGAAGACGCACATTGGCAGATGTGCAGAAGTTCTTGTAAGGAATATGATGTTCTTCTCAAAGATGCTTAAACTTGATTTTATTTCAGGTCTGCAACTAAATTTTTTTTTAAATAGATTTAGGCTGTCAATTTCCAGGCATGCTGTGCCATCAGCATGTAGAGACTGCTGTGACAAACGTGGAGGCTGTAGCAGCAAATTTTATTATAAACTGGTAATTGAATTGAACAGGTTTACATTTGAATAGATTTACTGCCGCATGATCTCTGACATGCTGCATGGGACTGAAACCCTTGTCTATACATAAAGAAACATTTAAGATGCTCTGAGCTGAGATAATGCCTACTGAAAGTCCATGCTAATCAATAAATTTACACCACTTTACACATGGAAAGAAAGAAGTATATTATCTTTCTTTACATTCTGCACATAAAGGATGCTGTCAAAGTCAAAGCCAAAAACTCATCTCCAGTCATTCCCATACATTAAACAACAATAACAAACAACTGTCTCCACAAATACCTAAAGCAAATGAAGAAACCTCTATTCCAAACACAGCTATAAATTGTAGTATGAATCAGCATTGTTTCAGAAGTAAAAGTAGCCACTAAAATGGACTGGAAAACAAATCGCCCTTACAGGCTCTTTCAAGTTGTCCTGTTAGGTTGCAGGTAAGCATTATATGAAAGAATGACAAGCTAGCTCTCTTCTAAATAAACAGACTCAGTGATTAAAAGTAAGTAGAAATTGCAGTGTGTTTTGACAGAAAGACTCACACAGTAAGAGTGGAAGAACTACAATCTGCTAAGGAGGTGGGATAACAAAGGAATCTTCCCTTCAAAGGAATTATTTTGTCATTGCAGAACTTTCAAATAAAGGGATGTACTGTTAGGGTACACAATTTATGTAGTTCTGACAAAGTAAACTACTGAGGCTGAGTTGCATCCACAGACAATGATCATTTGTGCAAAAAATCTGACTCATATGATTCTGAATTGTCTAAATTACTTCAGTTACCAAAATTATGTGCAGAAATGTAGTAATTCTGTGCACAACTTTGATAACTGAGATAATTACTCATTTGTAGAAGAGCCACTTAATTTCCTCACGCAGTCCCAGAAGCTGCACACAAACTAGGTTTGCAAATACATGTGTTAAGGGACATGCAACTCTGTCTCCAAAATTTAAAAGTGGTCTAAACTAATTCACCCGAATGGACTCTTGGTAGCACTGTTCCATCTCCAAACAGATTGTTCAACATATCTGTATGATAGGTTACTATTGATATGGGATACTTAACTTATCAGAAAGGATGTTAAGAAGCACAGTCCCTTTCAAAGATGCCATGCTCAGACATTCCTTTCATTCTACAGTTTATCTAAGCATTACAGCTTTAAAGAACTGCTTCGAGTGGTCAGTGACATAAGGATTTTTGGCAATTAAGGAACCTGCCCACTACCACTGGAAGAGAGGGTCAAATCCTGCCGTTCTTTCTAAGTCAAAATCCCCACTGAATCTGACAGGAGTTTTGCTCAAGTAAGACTAAGGACAGCAGGATTTGGCTCACAGGATCATAGCGTCTGCCAAAGCAGTTGTACAGAACAAGGTTTATTCTTAGTAAGTATAATCCAATAAGAATATGTCTGTAGGTCCGTGATAGGCCTAATTTGCCCATCATCTCTCCACTGGTCTACGTTGTTCTTGGATTTTACTCTGATAGCTGTATACCTAAATCTGTTTTAAATTACCATCAAGCAATTTGCAAAAATTAGCCATTTATTAAAGCTGACTTTTTAAGTACCAACAAAACAAGATTGTATGGGACTATTTTAAAGTGGTTGCTTAACACAAAGTACTCTCCACTGGAGACAATATTTAGAAAGCATTACATTGATTTTATTTTAAAAGGTTATCTTGCTCAGAAGTCCATGGCATATTCTGTTATTCTTTCTTGGTGGTAACAGTGCACTACAATAATAACGTATGCAATACATGCACACAGAAGTGTATTTTTGCACATACTTTAGCAGCAATAGAAGTGCATGTCAGGCAACCAAGAAACAAGGAATTATGTCTTTTTCTAAGGCAGATGAATCACGTTCCAGGTGAGAAAGCACTGTTCCTTGGAAACATTTTCTTATGTTTATCTATTTTTCAGTAACTTCAAATTGTAACTGATGAATCAAAACACCCAACAAATACTTACAGTGAGAGGCAGAGGTTCTCACATGCTTAGAAATAAGAGGGGTAGATTCTCCCCTTCTGTATGCCAATATTTGCATAGTTAACAGCAACTTCAGTAGTCATACTGAAGATTTACGTTTAATTCAGAAGTAACCCTTTCGCCTGTCCTAATGGCATGGAGAATGAGCAAAAACAGGAAAAAGAGGGCACAATGTGCAGTTCTGGTAGAACTGGGAGAGACTAACAGTAGATAAAGAATGGAGGAAAGGAATTTTTGAAAATTCATGATGTAAAAGTGTGAAAGAAAACGACAGGAAGTTTTCTGATGATTATTCTATTAGTTGCCTACTGAAAGAGAGTGAATATGGGGGCACATTTTGCTGTACTCCAACTAAGACAAAACGTTCCAGAGAAGATGTTCTACACATAGATAAACCTTGATTCCTTAGTTGTCATTTGCGTCTGTCAGGAAGAGCAAGCATACATGAAAATTGCCTTTATAACAACTGATCAGAACACTCACCTATCTCTCTTCTTTCCTGATTGCCCTACAATTGTTGCATGCATTTGTAGAGTTACGTATTGACTTGATCAGTCTTACCTTCTTTCAGCATGCCAACTTTTAGACACTTCATGAAGCGGCAGGCTTGGCAGGACTTGCGTCTGCGCTTTGTGATTTCACATTCATTTGTTGCTGGGCAGCTGTATTCTATGTTACCTGTAATAGAAAGCACAGGAAAAAAGAGGTATTCAGAATCACTAAATAACCGATAAACTGGATATACAAGTACTCGTGCAATTACCGTTGTGCTTAATTTTGGAATATATAATTTATATAAATACATAATTTAGAGAATGAACAATTCTCTAAAAAGGAAGCACCTTTGAAGTAAAAATAAAAAGCCAAATTAAATGACAAGATTTTTGATATATGTATTTTTAATTTAGACAGCTATATGTAAAACAAACAACCCAACAACCAAAAATACCACCATAATTGATGAGAGTCTGCATCTGGGTCCATACATGAACACATGGTCTCAAGCAAAATCCTTCGCATTTGTTATTCCTGCTGGTAGGATGTGAAAAGCTGCACACACCTGGGCTACTAACCCAAGCACTCTGTTTCCTGTTGTTCACCACTTTCATTAGCCTTTCTTTGGACACAATAAGAGAAAGTGACTTTTGTGCTTTATTGCACAATCTGCAAGAAGAGGTTCTACAGAACTTCTCCCTTCAGAAGAGCAGGCACAGTGTATCAGACAGTGCTCAGCTACACTGATATCACTGCACCTAGCACATCCTACAACTGCTTGGTCAGACCTCGCTGCCAGGGCATCTCCCCTCTCACTGCTCTTCATACAGAGTTCTTGTACTGACAGGCATCAGAAACAGAATCATCCTTTGGAAGTTGTAAGAACAACAAAAACTGGGGGAGATGCTTGCCTCTGTCTCTTCCAACCCTCCTTAAGGCCTAGAACAAGCCAGATCCTTAAACCTGAGTCCTCTGTGGCAAAGCACTGTTTCAATTTTTTGTTACTGTTTCAAACATATTATTTATTCTCAAAAATAGAAGGAAAGCCTGAAAATTAATGCAAAAAACATGTATGAGTCATTTTCTTCACATTTTTTCAAAACACATCTTTGGGAATCCAAGTCCACATGAGAGAACGTTTGTTCTCTTTTGTCCTGGTACCACTGCACTTTTCACAGAAAGCTAGAAAGCTTAGCTCAGCTTATTCATCTGCCTAGCCATGCATCCTATTGCCCATGACTACATTCAGTATGACAGACTTTGCAGCAGTCAGAAGTTTTATCAGGAAACTGACTTTCAAATACAGTATCTTCCCCATCAGCCTGTCACATCTTGCTTTAAAGGTATTTCTTTACTTTCTAACCCTTTCCCCCTGTGATTAAGTGCATTAGTATCTTAATGAAAATGCATTCTGTTTATTGCCCTCTTGGGAAGCAGGAGGTCATCACACCAAATGCATAAATTGTCATCAGAGACAGTCCAAGCATAATTGCAATTTTGCTGCTCCATGTTTGCTGCACTCGGGGTCCGTCAAAGTCCCCTGAAACATGCGCAGGTTCTAATAATTAGCATAGAGCCTGCCTGGGACCACAGCATTGATGAAATATTTCAGAGTTAATCACACTTTGTAAACACTGATTTATATTGACTACCTTTCTCCAGACTGATGTCTCCTCATTAAATATCACATTAGTGGATTGCAGGATTGCACAAAGACTCAAATGCTCAGCAACTGCTAATTCAACAGGAAGTAATACTTAAACCACTTACATCTATTGAAAATGGGTTAAGTATTTATGATAAAGGACGTCTGCACAGTACAGTGTAAGATCTGCTAATAAAACCAACATACTTTGCACAATCGTTTCAGGCATTTGCAGGTATTATTCCTCCTAAACTCTGCTACAGTTTGAAGTAACAATGCTGGCAAATAAAATGGGTCTTGGCATGGCTAAATACAAACAGCTCTCACTGACAAAACTTAAACTTCAGTTTAGCCGCCTTCTCCTTCCTTAGCTCCTAAGAAGAAAGTCATTTAAGAAACTAAGGATATGCTGGGTAGGAAATCTGGCTGGACTTTTCTTGCAGACCTTCCTCCTGAAATGCATTAGCAAAGTTCAAACATAATACTTCTAGAAAGATGTGCAGGAAGGGATGTAAAGGGCAAGCTTAAAAAAATACATTATCTTCTCACACTCTAGTGAGGTATTTTCAGTAAAGCAGAACCACTATGCAGGGAGACCTTCAAAGGCTATCACAGATTTTGCCTAATTAACTTCATTGTGTTGTAGTAACGTATGTATTACCACCCTCAATTAAAAAAAAAAAAAAAAAAAGAAAAAAGAAACAGGAAATCTGAAGTGTTTTGCACTAGATCAAAGACGATCTTTGCACAGTCAAAAATTACGTTGATCATAACTAAGATTAAGATTATGACACAGCACATCAAGTAGCAAAGCTCTGTACTGAAGCAAGCAGAGCACTCGCACTATAGACAAAGCCTTTGTGCAAAGGCACAGATGACGAAGATACAGATGCCACCAAAAAGCAGTTTTGAAAACAAAAAAAAATAAAAATGAAAGCAGGGTTGCTTATTTCCCTAAGCAAACTCTTCCAATCCATATCCTGAAATTTCAGCTTTGTTCAAAACCCTGTGAACCATGGCAATGGTCTATAGTATGGTGCACATTATGGGCAGACAACATAATGGATTTTCTCCAAATGCCTGTCACCTAAGGAACTTTAAAATGAGCTATTATTCTCATCACTTCAATTCCAGAAACGTAGCTTAGACATCAAATCTTTTCTTATCAATTCAGGCTGCTTTACTTTAATGAATTATATTATACAGCAGATGTTAGGTCCTAATTTTTGATGCTAGAAAACAGCATTTTGGAAAAAAAACAACTTGGAAGAAGTTGGAAAGAGCTCCTCCAATGAATGCAGTGGAATTACAGTAACTGGATATTGCTTCAACGAAGATCCACATCTTATCAGTGGCCACACTTGATTCTCCTGAAGTGTTTCAGTATTTTAAAATATGGCTAGAGTGCAATAACAGTTCAAGGAAACAAAGTTTGTCATCGCTTCAGATATGAATGCCATATCTTATCAAATATTTGCATGGATAGACTTCTCCCTACTTTTAATCAGTAAACTTTCCCTTAAAAAAAAAAAAAAAAAAGAAAATTGTAATTGATAGGAACATGAGTATATGCGATACTAGAAATATGTTCTACCTAATGTTCTAAATATTATTTTGATTAAAAAAAATACTGTGTTGCAAGTCTTCAGAGCTCTCATAGTTTATTTACTTCCATATATCAAAAATAAACAAGTTAAGTGTTTAGTAATCTGTACTATCTCACAGTTACATTACCCACAGATAATAATTTCAGCTCTGCACTGTATTTCAATGAGAATGACTGAGAAGGAAGTTCTTCCATTTACTTGTTTTTGCATGGTGCTAGAGGCTGAAACTGAGCAGCTAGCAAGAATCTAACTTGAGTTTGCCCAGTCCTGTCAACAGCTGGAGAGGTAGCCGTATTATATGATGAACAGTATCAACATGGCAGCTCTGAATCTTTAAACTGGGCTGACAAGAGCAATAGAGCAATTTATAATATCTCCTGGCTGGTTTTCAGAAAGGACTGGGCGCTGATTACTTATTTCAGAGTCTTTTGTACAATTAGTTTGCAGGCAATATAATTTTCTCACTTACTCCTTAATAGAATCTTGCAGCTTGCTGGCTGATAGAATAACAGTGGATATGTAAAACTCCTGCCTGAAGTGCCAGAGGATAATTTGTATATTCCTTTCAGTAGCGTAATGGACTTCTACAGTTTGGCAGTTAAGGGGCTGAGTAATGTAAATTAGTATGACGTTTGAAAATAAAAATATATGTCAAATCTTCACTCCCCACACACATTGCACTTTGCTATAATAATACAATGGGATTTATGCCTGAGACCCTTTTCTCCCACTATGCCCTGAGAAATATTTATTTTAAAACATTTGTTTTATTCTCCGAATTTATTAAATGTTATTATCTCGGCCACAAGACGTGAAAATATTTCTAACACTTCAGGCCTATCAAATGGAACCAACTTACTAAAAATAATGCCATTTGATCTTAAAACAGCAAGTGAACTGCTAAAACTCACTGCATAACCTGTTCTCTGCTTTCAGATGCTTCAAACTGTAAGATCTTTACACACAGCTCAAGAACAAGTGGGCCAACATACCATTTTTTTCATCTCACAGATCATGTTCCAAAGTTACTTGAATGAGATGTGGTTTCACAGTAAAACTGTAATTATATAGGGTCATACTTAATGGTTTTACAAGCCAGGCAATTGACTGGACTCAGGTAAGATTCTCTGGACCAATTTGGCCACTGCTTGCACAAAAGTGACAATGACATAGGTCAAGTAGTTTTGGACCCTCGCAGTAACAGTGGTTCAACCACGATGAAGAGGGGGCCACTGAGAACAGTGCCTCCTGCCTTGGCATCTCATCTCAGACAAAGCTCTTGTCATCAACAGTTACAACTGCAGAGACTCACAGATACCTGAAGTGAGGAGCTGGCTGTAGATACTGGCTGCCATCTGTGGGACAGGCTGAAACAAGGGTCCCTTTTCCAGAAATATTGACAAGAATAGAAGCTGCAGACAGCAAATCTTAGTAGAAGCTTTATTTGCCTTTTCACACTGTGACATTTGACATGATAACACCAAAGATGCAAACGGATTGCTATGAGCTACTGGAATATGCCCAGGAAATCTCTGGAGAAGTGAAAGAGATGAGGAAGTCTGAGATGAAGGGTGAAAATGTGTTCAGAAGGAGTACCCAAGAGACCTCACAAGAGCAGAAGGAAGGGTGACAACATCAGTACTGAAATATTTATTGTGTGAGAATGCAGGTCCAAATGGAGAAAAAAAATGGGGGGGGAGGCGCACAATTAATTATTCCTTCAATGTGCTAATTTCTATGCTATAATCTGCTCATGGAATAGTATTTCAGTATTTATTTATTTAGATTCAATAGTGTCCCATTTACCTCCCAAACTGAGTCTCTGTAACCTAGTATCTCTTTAAAAAGTGTTGTATTTAAAAATCAAGTGTTAGCAGAAGTTCCTATATCACTGGATTCGAGTCTTTCTGCAGTGAAGTTCACCCTGGATA